AAAAAAAATAAAAAAAAAAAAAAGATGCATTACTGGTTAGTCATCTTAGATTAAAAAAAAAAAAAGCATTTGGTTAAAAAAATAATCCAGCTGCTATGTAAATGTATTAACGTTTTTCTAAATATATAGAAGACAGAGTGGACAAAACTGTAAAATGTTTCTGTCAATATAAAAATTAGCAAGTGCCATACTCAAAGTATTTCAGCTAATGTTGCAATCAATGGAAGTAATCCCTGTGCTGTAATCTGTTTTACAAAACTGAAAGATACCAATGTAGACAGTTTTGAACATAAACCTGGAAAACATTTCCTATACCAAGCGTGGTCCCAGTAATTTATACAGTGGCACAGATTCCAAAAGATGTTTCTCATCTTTTGTGGCTTACAAGTTCCTGAAATGGATTTGCTGAGGTGTTAAGCTTTGAAAAATGGAAAGTTTTCTTCTTGAGGAACAGGAGTCTTCAGAAAGCCTGTGGGAGGACCAAGTGAAAGAATGCCACAATCTGGTTTCTAACTAAATGTGCAGGTCTCTCTATGCAAATTTGACTGCCCATACATATATTATGATTGGGAATACACCACTGGTTAATCTTCTGTGCCCTCAAGGTCTCCACATCTGTCACAATTTTTAACTATCTTGATTCAAAATCATAAAAGAAATGCTACCAAATACCTCCACTTAAAACCAAAGTATTCTGTAAACTTACACATTGCTGGCAAGTTTGAACTTGGCTGGGTGCTACAAAACCTTCAGTTCTCTGGAAAGAAAAAGATATTATTTTCTAATGATCCAGCACACAAGGCAAATCCAGGCTAAGAGGGGATGCTTTATGTGCATGAAATTTTCTCCCCACAAAAGAACAGATAGGACACTGACTRGTGCCAGAAGAAGTGACTCTGCCTTCCCCCAACCCAACACAAGGCTTTGGTGAGTCCAGGTGCTTCTAATTCCATAAGGTCAAGCTACTTACATGAGTGTGTCATAGACATCAGGTGGATAACAATTGTCCCATAGCAAGGGAAGGAATAACCTTTCATCAAAACCAAAAGTACCTACTTACCTCTTTTTCTGTGAAATCCACCTTTCTTTGTACTTTACTGCCATGGTATTTGCAGAAGTGTTTGATTTCATTGTCTTTGCATTTGTGGGCTGCCATAGCACCATAGTACTTCTGGACAGCAAGAGAAAAAGAAAATATTATGTGGGAGGCATCAAACYATGCTTGCAGCTGCTGCAGATTTACAATTGAAAGTGGAACTACACAGATATTGATGCTGTTTATTAACTGGCTGGTTTGTTCTCTGTGAGGGTGAAAACAATGTCTGTATCTCCAAAGGACACCTGCCTTCTGGTACAAGATTATATCAGGCAGGGTTGATTTTAGATGCTTGTTTCCTGACACAGTATGTAGGATAGGGACTCTGACACCTCGGAACTGAATTCATGAAAATGTCAGAAGGAATACTCTGGAAACACCTGCCTGATCAGTCTGTTCAAGAGAAGGCCTGGTGGAAGAAGGCATAGTTTAGGGGTCCTTAGGACAACATATATGCAAGCTAGGTGCTCTGCAACCCAGTCAGTGAAGCAGCAGTGCTCTAAAAGCAGTGCTCTAAAAATTCTGAAAAATGAATGAGTAAAGAAGCTCAAGTGTCTTCAAAGCTGCTACCATTTGCACAGCAGTTTTGAGAAACATATTAAARTCCACAGCAGCCCTCTTCTGGTTTCACTGCAAATGTATTGGCATCTTCCCTACTGCAAATTAAATGCTTGAGTATGGTTCTGCTGCCATCTGTTGTCACTACAGAACTTCTCCCAAGGTCACCTTTTTGATCATAGGGACCAAAACATTCCAAAATATCTCTTATTTCACTTACGTTTTTCTTCTCCCTGACTGTCAAGACTAAATGTAACCAAAATGAAACAAATTGCAATTCTTATTTCCAAATCTACTGCTGTGCTTTATTCCTTGAGCTTATGCACAAATCAACAGATCTGGTTGCTTGTATTACAGTTGCTGTGGAGGTACATCCCAAAATACATCAAATGCTCTGACCTGATGCATAGTGTTTCACAAATGGCAGAGAACAAAGAAATGAAATCCACCTTTTGGTGAGAAATGGGTAAATTTTGGTCCTTTAGTAACCCCAAACATTTCATCTTAAACCACAGTTTTAATTGTTTGCATTCAAGTGCCTAAATGGTTATGTTCAGCTGTGGATTTTTATTTGCTCTTTGTAAATTTTATCCATGAACTTATGGGTCTGACAACTCCTCCTTTTATAATTTTTCTTCTCTACAGAAATGACTGAAACCATACTGTCCTGACTGACGCATAAATGTGGAAGTCATCCACTGCTTGTTCCAACTCTACTACTCTTAAAAGGGCACAAGATAGACCCACAGAATAATTTAGGCTGGAAAACACCCTTAGCATCACGGAGCCCAACTGTAAACTTGGCACTGCCAAGTCACTGATAAGGATGAGTCTCTCTACAGTTTGTTTCATCCGGTGCAAAACTCCATTCTGCCCCAGTTGTTTTAGGATTGACTGGTTACTGTGTACATAGTGCTTTGAAATGATAAAGGAGTTGCTTAAGAGCTGATCACTTGCTGTGCTGAAGTACTGTTCTCTCTAATTTAATTGCAGACTTAGACTCTGTCATTAGCCCTGCAGACACTGAGCTCCCTGATACAACAGATCCTGAAGAGCACAGACTGCAATGGAATTCTCAGAGCCTACAGTGCAGTATTTGGGCTGCAGGGCTGTGTTCGCAAGGATGGGCTGGCAGAGTTGGCTCCCAGTGTGCCCACCCAGTAGAGCAGTGACACCTGCCAGCCAGASCCAGCATGAGACCAGTGGAGCTGTGCATCTGTATGCTGTACCTCTCAGTTTCTGCTCATCACAAAGAACTGAGCCCACACTCCTTATCCCRCAGCAACATCCCAAATTGAGTTTGACCTGGTTTTGTTTGGGATGGAGCTAGTTTTCCTCCTAGGAAAGGAGGAGTTGGCACTGTGCTGTGTTTTGGATTTAGTATGAGTATAGTGTTGATAAGAAACTGATGTTTTGGTTATTACTCAGTAGTGCTCACCCTGTGTCAAGGATTTTTCAGTGTCTTATGCTCTGCCAGTGGGGAGGTGCACAAAAAGCTGAGAAGGAGCTGGTCTGTGATAGCTGACCCAAACTAGCCAAAAGAAAATTCCATACCCTAGCATGTCGCATATATAATCTGTGAAAGTTGGCTGGGGGGCTGACTTCTCTTCAGGGACTGGCTGAGCACTGCTCAGTGATTGGGTGCATCACTTATTCTCCTTTGGTTTTATTTCTCTCTCCCTTTTCATTACAATTACTGTTGTTATCATTAGTATTACCATATTTTCCTTTGTTTCAATTATTAAGCTGTTCTTATCTCAACCCACGAGTTTTATTTTCTCCAAATTCTCCTCCCCATCCCAGCAAGAGAGGCGGGCAGGGAGGGAGTGAGCTGTAAGGCTCTTAGTTGCTGGCTACGATTAAATCACAAAAGTGGGAGGGGTTAACTCTATATTCAAAACGCATGACACAAAGCATTTCTTCACTCGAGATTCAAACTCTCCCYGATTTCCAGCACCCAGATCAGGCTATCAGCCAGCATGGGTGGTTCTTATTCCCCTGATGACAACAAAGGGTTACTATGTCACAAGGCCATTCCCCAGCAGGGATACTTTGGAGCACTGGAAACCTTCCACTCCTTGTGACACAATGTAATTGTGATGTCACCTGACATTTCTGTCTCTCTAACCACACTGTATTTCCACCGAGAAATRAAAAAACCTTTTGCTAAAATCTACCGTGCTATGATACTGTCTATAGAAAATGCTGATAGTGGTGTTTATCAGCCAAGGTGGTGGCAGCTCTGCCCGTCAGGACAACACCGGTAAAATGTACCCTACCACACGATGCTAAACGCCCCAAATTTCTTCATCTCGGCCGGCACCACAGGCTCACTAGCTGAACCCTTGCCATACAATGAGCAAACCTGCAGTCTCATTTCTGCAGAAAGAGTAGTGCCAAGAGGGCCCTGCCAGGYACATCATGAACATTCCCCTTTGGACGGGTCTGGGGGTGACCCCTCACCTCGCATTCCTGTGAGACTCCACTCACGAGCTTCACAATCGAAGCGAACGCTGCATTGAGGCGTTCCCGGTCTTCCTCCTGCAATGAGAGACATTCCTGGTTACTCAGCGTGCTGCTCGTCGCTTAGAGCCAGGGGGTGGCGGGTGATTGAGCCGCAGAGCAGTCGGGGCTGTCTCTGGGGTGACACAGTCCCGCATGTCTCAACGCTGCCGCCACACCGGGGCACCCGGTCCGCTCCAGAGGGCTCCGGGGCAGCTCACCGCGGAGGTATTTGGGAGGCCCGCGGCCCATACTGATATGTATCTACATAGATTTATATCTATATTGATGTCCAAGGGTGTGTGTGCACAGCACTGACCGGGGTCGCTCCCGCCACGCGCCGCCGCGAGCGCTCCAACACATCGCGCGCCAACCCCGCCGTGCGCCCCGCGCGCGCCACCTCCATCCCGCCAGCGCCGCGCGGCCGCC